GCACTATTGCATCCCACAGTTTGTGCCCCCCCCCCCAGAGTCTTAAAGATGCTTTAAGGTGCCACTGTGAAATGGCTTAAAGCTTATACAGATCCTCCTGTGTCCATCAAAACACTGCTCCCAACTCTTCCACTCCAGCCTCCCAGACCCATCAGTGTCCTGGCAGGCAGTGGGGGCTATGGAGGTCACCCCTGCACAAAAGAAGGTCACTGGGGAAATTAGCTAGTGACCAGCCAAATATCAGCAGGGACCGTTAGCAGCATTTCATCCACATGAAGTGAGGAAGTGAGCACTCCAGCACTGGCAGAGGCTAAATGTTCTATGGCCCCTTGAGAGGGAAGTCCACAGACTTATGATTAATGTCTCAGCAATATCCCTCTTGCGGCTGGGTCAGCATGCCAAAGGGCTCTGTTGGTGGCAGGTGGTGTCGCGCTGTCGCTAGGCCTGTTACCTTTTGTAATGAAGGAGCTGGTGGTGGGACCAGAGGCCAAAATGAAAATTGAAATCATTTGTTCCCTCCACTTTCCACTGACTGACACAAATTGGAACCAGATCATCTCTGAGTGTTGCCCCCCTCCCACTCCGTAAGCCTTGTGCTCTTTTCAGGGGGGGTGGGAAAGTTGAGCTGGGCAGTCTGAAGAGAAAGGAGGGGGGCAGTTGAGAGAGAGGGGACCTTTCAGCTTGCCTGAATATGGACAAACTTCATTATTTCTTCCAGCCCTCTGTCCAGTCTTCCCCTTTCTTCCCCATTATTCTCCATGTGAATGAGGTTGCCTGGGTAATGATGGAGGAAGAAAAAAACGCCCCTCTCCTCCCTCTCCAAAAAAAAAAAAAAAAACTGTGGTTTGGGATGAGGATCAAATTCATGTATGTAGAGAAAGCATTTCTGGTGGAATGCCTGGCTGCTTTCTGGGGTGGAAGGGGACGTAAGAAAAGAGGAAATCCCAAAGTAAATGAATTTGACAAGTCCATATCGAGCATGCCTGATTTCCATGTAAATGAAGTGGGGAGGGCGGGGGGCCTCTTTATCTCCCGTCGGCCCCTGGGGGCCTTCATCATACCTCTCTTTGATAGCTGACGTTGCCCATTAGCCCCTTAGCGCAGTCGCTGCAGTGGGCCATTACACCCAGCAGCTCCCATTAAGGTCCATGTCCTGCTGCGAGGACAAACGCCCCCTTTGTGGGTCCCTGCAGCAGTGCCACGTTCATTCTGCAGGGGCTCTGGGGACCACACTGCTCCTAATTTGGAGGGTGGTGTCTGTGTGGAGTTTCTGACAGGAATCCAAACTCCTCACAGCCTCGGCACTCGTTGTAGGAAGTGGGACTCGCAACAAAGCTGAGTGAAGCCGGTGGCGCCGCTCTCGTCACACACTGATTGATGCTCAGAAGTGACTCCGTCCATTCATACGAGCCGGTAGCAACTGATTCCTACACCACAGTTTAGTAAAGAGTCATCAGAACCACACATCCTCTGTGCTGACACAGTGTTAAACTGACATATATGATCCATCACTGATCAAATAGAAATGTAAACGCGCTGTATATATGTTGTATACATGCAGTGGTGGAAGGAGTACACAGATCGCTTACTTAAGTAAAAGTAGAAGTACCACAGTGTAAAAATACTCTGTTAAAAGGAGAAGTCCTGCATTCACAATGTTACTAAAGTAAAAGTACAAAAATATCACCACCAAAATATACTTCATATACTGTCGTCCTTGTTTTTGCTGTGCACGTGTTTCCTCCTGAACACGGTTCTTGTTCTGAATATACTTGTCGTCCTTGTTTTTCCTCCTGAACACGGTTCTTGTTCTGTGTGTAAGAACCAGCAGAAACCAGAGTGGAATCCCCCCTATGCACAAACATAGCTGACCAGTAACCAAGCTGATTCTGATAGTTAAACAGCCTGCTCGCTCCTGGTCATTAACCTTTATGAACAGTCAATGTAGTTTAAAGGACAGATGCTGAAAGTGACTTTAAACATGAGGGTAAACAGTGCTGTGGCACATGGTCTAATGTCTGCAGTCCAGCATGTTACAATAGAGTCAGGCAGGGCTTCAGTGCCGGCGCAGCAGCCCTGATTGAAATACAAACGGGTGCAAATGAAGCGTGTAATCAGATTAGGGCAGAAACCCCGGGGAGGCTGCTGGGCAGGCTGGGAATACAGGCAACGAGGCCACAGGGAGCACTGGCAAAATATCTGGGGTTGACATCAGCGGCAGTCAGACCTCACTGACGCGTGTTTAGTTGAGGAGGGAGATGATGAATGGATGGAAAAGCATGCACAGAGGTCCACATTTAATAATATGAACCAGCCCATACAGTAAAATACACTACCAGAGCAGCACAGGAGACAGCGACCTGAGAACAATGTGTCGCTAAGCAGTATGACTTTATTTAAGGGATGACTTGTGTTGTTTTATTGCTGTGAAGCCGACGTGTTGTGTTACTCACCTGACGGCTCCTCGTAGCTGCTGTAAGCCGCTGTCGGAGATGCAGCTGGGATCTCTGTGACACAGAGAAGTACACACACAGTTCACTTTTCATTTTACAGTGAATACAGGATATAAATTATCGCATGTGATGGCTCATTTTCCATTTTGTGTGAAATATACGCAGGGATGGATTCAATTGGATATTACCAACCGCTGATTTTGAGACAACAGATGTGCAGAAAAATGTGGAGTGATATAAAAGGGCCTCATGTCCCGCTCCCTCCTGACTGTGGTATGTTGTGGGTGCACGGAGCTGAGGCTGCCGGGCTTGTTAAAGTCAGAGCTGGCCGGATGTTAAATAATTCACAAGTTTAATATTACACATTACCCCAAAGATGAAGGAGAAACCAAACATATTCTGCCCTTAAAAAGCCCTGTCATCCATCTTCTACACCACGTTTGTTACCGTCCCAGCAAAATTAAAGAAACATTGTTCCAGCAGGTTCACAGATTTAAATTATGCCTGTAGATTGAGGCCAAACATCTCACTCTGATTTCTGGTCCACAGAGTCCGATTTCCACACAAGACTTTATCAGAAACATCACCCTCAGTAACATGCTGGACAATTGTAGGTGTGTACACATGGCTGTTATCTTATCTTTTCATGCCAGCGAGCTACTGGGGGCTCCTAGCTAAAGCAGCTACCATCTCTGTGTCTGTGAGCCTTTGGCGTTTATAGCCGAGGGCCTGGAATCTGCAGGCAGCAGATACAGCCAATAAACATATCAGCCGTCATTCCCTTGGACTCGTTCTGGGGATTTATTGTGAGACGGACTGTTGAAGGCACACAAGGCCATGTTAGGTGAGCCGTAATGTTGTGTTTATCTGGGCTCCGCTTTAAACAGCTAAATAGCTATCCAAAATAATGGAACATGGGTATAAACATAAGACAATAAGCCATGAATTCATAGAGAAGCATGTCTTCTCCTTTTCCGCGCTTGTCCTGAGGTAGGACAGGATTGTGATTTGTATCAAACCTCGGACTGCAGGAAAGCCTGGTCGCAACAGGATTTAAAATCTGTGATGAGATCCTTTCAATAAAGTGAGTGGGAACACTTGTAGGGGTGAAGTAAATCTCCACAGATTTTTTTTTGTGTCAAGTTCAACTTTGAGAAGGTTTGGGAGGTTTCTCCTCACAAGGATAATAATAAGGATAATCACCTTTATTTGACCAAGTTTGTTACATACAGTGAATTTGTTTCTGGTACAGAACCGAGGCAGCCATCTGTGGCGCCAACTCACACCGATGGCTCTAACCATCGGGGGGGTTCAATGTCTTGCCCAAGGACACTTCGACATGTGGACTGCCGGCACCGAGATTCAAACCTCCAACTGCTCTACCCACTGAACCAGTCACCCCTCAGAGAGGAGAAATGCAACTAGTTCCAGATGGGTGTTACTTAAACAATTTAACGTATGTACGTTCAGGTGTCACCTCTTTGTTAGAACTGGAGGGCGTGACTTCTGCAGAGCTGTGTGCTAAGCTAGCAGTTAAATAGAGGCAATGAGTAACAAAGGTAATGTGGCGCATTACTTTTGCAGATGCATCATTAGTACCGAAATTTAACCTTTTAAATTTGTGTTAGGGAAAAAAATGCCATTACATTTTGTAACGAGTAACTTGGGCCTCGTGAGAGACTGGCAACCTGTTCAGGGTGTACCCTGCCTCCCACCCCATATCCCATAGTCCCTCACAGGATAAGTGGGTACAGTATATCCAATGGATACATGAATGTGGCTGTTAACTGTGTGAGAAGGAGGCAGAAGGAGGCCGTACTGATGCAGGGAGCGATGGGCGAGCGGCTCTGCTGGTAGCCCTTTGCACAGCGGTTACAGGTGATCCCCGTCACTCCGTCTTTGCAGGGGCATTGGCCTGTTGTCTGGTTACACGTTTTCCCCGCTGCTCCAACTGGATGGCAGTCACATGCTATAGAAGAAAAGGAGAAAAAGAAAAAGAATATCAAACTGGAGTGTACCCAAGTAAACAAGGTGGGTGGTTTACAGAACCAGCTGCAATACAGCACAGTTTCTAAATGACTACACTACTATATGTGTCTGGCCTGACCTCTGCTGACCCTACATGATCCATAGAGTAAAAAGTAATCTTAGTGAGAAATCATTCACCTTTGAGCAGGCTGTGTTTTGCTTCCAGACTATCACAGATGGGGAACTTGGCCTTGCACCAGCATAAAACCAATCAAATTACTCTGCTTCCCTCCTCCCATTAAAATTCTTCATTACAGGCCGAGTCTGAAATTCCCGCAGAAGATTAAATACCTTGACCAACTGTAGTATTTCCCTGTTTTTGTGCAGTATCGGTTGGATTACAAAGTACATGTGGGTATGTGTTGTGTACTTTGAGTACCTCGAGAACCGGCCTTGTGTCCTCTGCAGCACTGTGATCAGCCGCACTGTGTGCGCTTCAGATTGAATTTCCAGTGTAAAGCTGTTTGGCAAAGAGTTCCCTGCAAATACTGCCTGAACAGTTTCCCATTAATGGACGAGGGGAATGCACTTCAAAGTCTGTTGAAGCTGTTGGCTGAGAGGATCACACTATAAATGTGAGAAATTTGTTCTGTGTGTGTGTGAGTGTGTGTGTGTGTGTGTTCACCATAAAGCCAGTGTTTGAAGTGGAAGCCTCCCCATCAGCCCTGCATGTGTTAGCAGTAGAGTCATCTGAAATTTGCTTGAAGTGGTCCACTAGAGTTGTTTTTAGTTGGAATTTATGAAGTTTCCTGAGCGTGAGGCCTTTGTTTTTGTTCAACTCGATTTGTATCATAAAACTTCAGCCAAGTGTATTTGTTGAAATTAAATCAAATGGTGAACTTTTTAGGGATTCGGTTCGTTTCCTCTGAGGTTTAAACACCGCTGTGTTTTTCATTGGAAACTACAAATGCAACAAAAACAGTCCTCACATGAAGCAGCTAATGTACAATATCAACGGTGACATCATAGAAAGATGTTTTATGTCTGTCTGTTCCTACCAACATGTGTTATCACAGTAACCATGGCGATCCATACATGGCGACCGTTTCTACACACATATTTCCTGAATCCTCATACACTGTCTGGGTTTTAAAGTAATCCAGTCCAGGGAAAATACAGGTTTCTCAGGTATGACCTGCTCTACTCAAGATGGTGACAGGAAATGATGTGGTCTCTCTGTGGAAGCTGTTTATTGTGGAAAAGATTTTCCATCATTTGTCTAACTGTTTATTGTGGAAAAGGTGGAAAAGATTTTCCATCATTTGTCTAGTTGTCTATAATTTTATGCAGCGATATAATTATCATGTTCCTTTTTTCCTTAAAAAACAAACAAACACTAAAACACTCATGAATACTATTGGTTTCACCGAGCACGTCCAACTGTGTAAATAATAGCTGACTGCTGGCAGGGCTACTCTCGACTTTCTTCAAAGCAAGAGAGGTGATGTCCTTTCCTGTCTGGATTATTTTTAATCCGGTCAGATAGAATGCTTTATGAGGATTTGGGAAATACCTTCAGGGTGTTGTCAAGTGATTCTATGAATTTAGAAGCAGTTGCCATGTACGGATGTTCGGTTATTATCATTGTCAAGGTAATAAATGACAGGCACAACCTCAGCCCTACTGTCTTAACAGGGGGTGCTTCACGCTGGAAGCACCAGTTAACCTGGGGACCTACGGAATGGCTGCGCAGGTGCTTGGCGGAGTGCAGCTCAGTGAACCGCGTACCTGCTTCGTCTCTGTGGCCTCACTGTGCCGAGTTAAAGGCCAAACGTATGAGGAGAAGGGGGAAAGGGCGTGCGCTGGGGTTCTCCCAGAGCCATGTTTACACTTTGCTCGATGAGGGGTGAAGTTGTTAATCTGGTGAAAAAGCATGAGGTATTCCACACTGCCACTGGAGATGGAGGCGCTGTTTAGTGCAGGAGAGCAGTATTTTTTCACTGAGCCTCCAACTTTTAAGCAAATAACAGAGAGGATATCTTGTTGAGATGTGGGGTGTTAGGCAGGGAGGGGGTTGAAGGAATGGGGAATGAAAGCAGACTTCCTCCTGGCTGTGTTGGCACAGCGCAGTGTTTCCTGTCCAACAACAGCAGAGCGGGATGGTTGGCTGATTTGAACAATAAATATAGCTGTCTGTAACCGATGCCACAGCGCCCTGTTTTTGTCACCTGAGGAGAAAGGCAGCAATCAGACTGTTTGGGTTTGATCCCAGAGCACTGAGCTGGCTATGTGGACAGACGGGGTGAGGGGGAGTGTTCAGGTTACTGATCCAGCTGTTTGGAGAGACTTTGCAAAGATATATGGATGTTTCTCCTTCATTAGGCAAAGTGAGAACCTCTGTTACACTAACCTGCTCCCAGCTCCATCCCCCTGAACTCCACTATTCCCCAAATAAAGCTTGTGAAAATGTTTAGGCTGGCAGAGTAACACAGTGCTGCAAAGACCCATTTGTCATTTCTGAGCTAAGTGCAGATGATCTCTCAAGCTTGTGTTCAGCACAACACATGCAGAAAATCAATCCCAGCGCTCTGTTCGACACTGATCTCTGATAGAAAACACTTCTGTAGGCCCTGTTCCTCAGTCGGAGTGAAATAAGAGGGGAGGTTTGCTGTGGCATGTAGTAGGAAATATGTTGCTGCTCCTGTGTTTAAGTAGCCATGTGGCTGAAAGATGTGTGTATGTACAGCTTCTAGAAGTCACTGATTTGTCATTGTGTGGAAAAGAAGCAGGATGGAAATGTAATGTCATTCAGGATGCAGAACAGGGCTGGATAAATATTGATTTTTTGATTAATTGCAATTTATTTTTGACCAGTTTGATTATTGATTCTTGAAATCTCAAGATCAATTTTTGCATTTGCTCCTTTTCTCTTTTAACGTGCGCTAAATGAGGCTAAGCTAAACAACTGAAACATCTCTCGGTATAACACAGCACAGTTGAACAGCAGCACTAACTGCAGCCTCCGCAGTGACCACACGGATGAACCATGAGCACAGACTGAACATCATCATCTTCATGAAGGAGGATTTACTGCAGCGCAGTTGGGTTAAACTGACTCAGTTCCTAATAAACTTACTACCAAGCTGGGTGCTTTTTAACAAGTCAAAAGCATCATCTCAGACATGAACGTAGCCAGAGACAAGCAGCGATATGTCCAAGTGTTCTGTGCGCCTTTGGGACATTGTGCCGGTGAGTGTTTGGACAAAGAGACAGCAGTCTGTTTGCTCAGGGTTTCAGAGACTGTCTTCACCCCCAGAGGATCTTCGAGACAGGAGAAGCTCAGCTTTTGTCTGCCTACACATTAATCCTTGGCAGCCTGGTCTCAAAACTGATGTGTGTGCTCACACCTGGGTGTGTGTGGGTGTGTGTTGGTGCATGTATGTGGTGAGTATGAATAGGGGAGAGGAACGATTAGCGAGTTGTTTCCACTGCTGTGCTCGTGGATCAGCTCACACCTCTGTTCTGTTTGTTATGCTTGTCTTGTCTGGGATCCACAGAGGAGCTAGAATATCTTGGGAGCTGCACGGGTCACTTCACTGACACCAAGACAGCTGGGTGCTTTTCTTTAAATGAAAAAAAAATCCCTTAATACCTGAAGTGTGAAACAGAGCACAAAGAAGAATATGTGTGTAAAACTTTAGTTCAACCCTGGGTGGAGAAAAAGGTGTTAGATCTATAAGTTCTTCACACACACTAGTTGGTTTTACCCTGAGAACCCGCGGTACTGCTGCTCCAAAGGGTCGCCAATATCCTGCCCTTGTGCTGTTCTTAGAGTTCAAGCTAAGGGCGGCAAAATCGCTAGCCAGCATGTGAATTCAAACAGCAAGCCAGCATTTCGCAGCAGAGTAGCGCTGCGACGTCGCTCTATGTCAACTAACTATGACATAAAGTTTGTGCCAGAGATAAGTGTGGATGTAGCTTTGTTGGCTCCTCAAGCATTTTTTTCGCTTCATGCAAAATTGGTTAGAATATTTCTTGCTATGTGTGCAAATGTCATGAGTAATCATCAAAACGTAACACTTGGTTCTGGACTGCCTGCTCATCCTTTCTACACAGAGCCCATATCCCTTTTGTTTCGCCTCTGGTACTACCTGCCAAGGCGGACCACATGTGCAACGACAATGGCCCGCCATTCCGTGAAACGTTCTCAGAGCTTTGAAACCAAACTTTTTCTAACTTCAGTGCAGGGACGGTGCATGCAACCTTGCACTGCGCTCAGCTTGGTGCAGCACAACTACATTTTTATGAAACACTGGTCCACAAACACAACTGGTGTTTGTGGACCAGTGTATTGCATTGTTCTAGTAGTTTGTTTATACTTGTGTATGTGAATATGCTTTCTATGGATGATAATAATGTTCAGTTCTTGTTCAGCCAGTCACAGAGGGCTCTTGGTTCAACTGTATGATCATGTTGGAGAATGAGTATGATGATTTGGCATCCAACCTTTGCAGGCTCTGCGGTGAGAGATGGACTTGGTCATGTCCCTGTAGTAGCCCTCCTTGCAGTAGTGACAGTGGCGTCCTGCTGTGTTGTGACGACAGTTGAGGCAGACGCCACCGCTTCTCCGGCCGGACAGCTTGTACAGCTCCATGTTGAAGCGGCAGCGGCGGGCGTGCAGGTTACAGTGGCAGGCTGGGCAGACACAAAGACAGACACTCAGTAATCATGTGACAAGTCCTTCCTCTCATGTTTCAGCTCGGCTTGTCATAATGCTGCAAGTGAAATAATACACCCAGCAAACCCATGCGGTGCTGTTACTGCTATGTGAAAACCATGTGACTCCAGGTTTGCTGCGTGGTCACATACTGTCCCCTGACAGCTGAGAGACTCCAAACCTTTACACTCTGAAACCAAATCATCACACTGTTTTTCTTAGCTGCCGCAAAACTGACATTTAGGAAGCATGAGCTTATTGTCCCACAGCGATGAACTCAAAACTGATGTACTTGAGAGACATCACAAAGCCTCAGTCTTCTGGTATGTCACATTACCACAACAGGTTATGGAAACAGATGGCGTGGCTTGGCCTGCTTTGGTCAGGCTTAAGAATAATGGAGTCTGGTCCAGGCTTTTTCACTTGGCCACCTGCTTGCGAATTTAACCTCAGAACCCTGGTGATGTCAGGCTGGAGAACTTGCTTCCGCTCTCCCACACATCAGAGATGCTGCTGTAGTTTATGATTTATTGTCATTGCTATTTAATGTCGACCCTGAAGTTCATATTTCTGACACACTAATAATTCATTGCCTTGGTTTCAGGCCTTTGCTGAGTTTGCTCTTATGGTAGATAAGTGAAAAAGACATTATGAAGTCAATAACCATAGATAAGGTGTTTGTAAATCATAAATATTGTGAAATTATACTAAATTAACAGGGAGTCTGGATTCATCCTCAGCTCGGAGTAAAATCTCTACACTGTCTGCCAGCCGAGAGACATAGTCCCTCCAGCGTGTCCTGGGTCTTCCCTGGGGCCTCCTCACGGTGGGACATGCCTGGAACACCTCCCTAGGAAGGCACCCAGAAGGCATCCGAAACAGATGCCCGAGCCACCTCAGCTGGCTCCTCTCGATGTGGAGGAGCAGCGGTTCTACTCTGAGCTCCTCCCGGGTGACCGAGCTCCTCACCCTATCTCTAAGGGTGCGCCCGGCCGCCCTGCGGAGAAAGCTCATTTTGGC